TCCTTGACCAGAATCGTCGTCCGCTCACGGTAGAAGTGTTCTTGTAGGTCTCAAAGCTCGAGAGGAGAAGAAGGTTAAAGACCTGAAAAAAGAGAACCACAATCAGAATGACCGTGCCGCCCTCAGGGACCGCCTTGAAGAGAGGTTCAGGAGGATGTCCACCAAGTTGGCGGATGAAGTCCCGGTACCTGATGGCCTCGAGGATCAGGGCGGCCACAAAGGTCAAGATGACCATGAGGCGCGGGGTCCCGCACTAGCCCGTTCCAATTGATGGAATGGGGCTTGAAGCTAGTGGCCCTTATCATCATCATCATCATCATCATCATCATCATCACTATGATCTGATGTCATCACCATCATCATCACCTCATCCGTCTTCCCAGCGTCCGGAGGTGCCTTCGAGCGCTACGAGCGCTTCGTTCTCCACGGCTGGTTGCTCCGAGCCATCGAGCTGGATCGCATGAGCCGACGGCAGGAACGCTTGTGCCGCGTGGTGAACGTCATCGATGTGACCGGCTGCACTCTTTCCAAGGTGCCGGAACGGGGGAACCAACAGATGTTCGGAAATGCACCAAGTGAGCAACATCCCAATGAACACCCAACCCTAGGTGTGGTTGGCAAGCTCTTGTGACCTACTTCAGGTGAGGCCACAGGCATTTACACTACTTTTGAATTTCTGCCCGGTATGAGCAGTTTCAAGATCCAGGTCATTTGTAAAGAGTTTGATCAACGAGCAGAAAAGATGATGCAGCGGCTGGAGAAGCTAGTTCCAGATCTCACTGCTGGCAACTGGGTCATCAATGCGCCCTGGATCATGCAGAAGATTTTCCCCTGGGCTAAGCGGGCTCTCAAGATCAAGGTGGACAACTGGTTTCTGTGCAACGGTGACGGCGAGCAGGATCCGAGCTTGCTAAGTGTGGTTGAGGTCAGCCAGCTACGGGAGTTGCGCGAGTTCAGATACAGGGTCAAAGAAGAAAGCGAGAAGTGTGATGCAAACATGCACTACATTGGTCGCGGCCAGGTGTTGGAGAAAGCTATGGAGGTTCGCAGTGGACAGCGAGTCTGCTGGAAGTTTCTGGTGATGGCAGGTGGGATTCTCCTCCCACCACCTGAAATCCAATTTTCTGTGGTGGGAATTTGGGACCTGGACGACGAGGACGAAGTGGAGGAAGTGCTTCGCCGGAAACCCGGTGCCCGCTCGGGGCAAGGGACGGCCAAGCCCGCCGTTAAGCCTGCGATGGTCGTCGAGGATGGAGGTGCGCTTGACCTGGTTAGGGAGGAGAGTGATGACTCTGAGTACCAAGGTTTACAGGAAGACATCCTCCGTGACCTTGATTTCTGGAAAAGCTTGGATGGTGAGAACAGCGGAGAAGTGCTTTCGCCCAAGAGTGGCTTGATCGTCCTTCGGTGGAGTAATGAGTTCAACATGATCCGCCCGAAGCGTATTCAGTTTGAAGTTGTGATCAGGGATTAGGTAATGATTAGGTGTACAAAGCAGCTCACCTGTTGTAGCTTTCTTTTCGGACCACATCCCCTTGTGTCAGATGAGTTGATGGCCATCGTGTGCAGGAAATGCATGGAGCGCGAGAGCTGAGCTTTTTTGTTGGACCCGGAGGGAAACATATTCACAGATCCACTGAAATGAATGCCGGGTTCTTTTAGGTGGGGGTATATAGGCTATAAGTGCTAAGTAAGGGAAATAGTAGCATCCTTCGTGCTGGTGCTACTTGGCCACAGTTGTTCTTGCAGTTCAACTTTGCCATTCCTTTCTCACCAGGCATCTCCAAATGGGTGACATTTGACCACCACACGGGCCACCACGGGTCGTACGAGTTGGGCTCAGCAGATGCGGCAAGCACCGTGGTGTGAGCAGTAAGCATAAGCTTCTTTTGTATTCTGCTTCACTCAGTTGCCAATGGCGCGAGAGAACCTCACAGCATTTTCATCAATGCACTAATACACTCCCCATGTGTCTTTTCATGTGCGGAAGGACTTGATGCCTGTTTCAGAGAAGAGAAATCAAGAGATTGAAAACACTCAATCTATGGCCTGCGGGCTCCAAGACGTGTTGTTATTTGATGTCTCATTTGCTTTCCACTTGACAATTCCTTCCAAATCCTCCTGGAGTTCTCCAAGAGCAGGGCTTGTTCGAATCCTCTCCTGTTGGCCAAAGCTGCCATGAAGATCCTGCAAGTTGGGCCCCATTTCCTCACCAACCAGGAGGCCAGGGGCCGTTGCGGCGAGCGCTGGACGTGGTTTCCCCGGCCCCGGCCGGGAAAGAAAGCTTTAGGAAGGTGTCCTCCGGTCGTGATTTGATGTCATGAGTCATAACTGAACAATATATGGAGACATTCACGGTTTCAAAGCTACCAGGTCCTTTTTTGTTGGACACAAGTTGTTTGCTTCTGCTGTTGCAGGCGTGCAACCTGCTGGTGTCATCCGTTTGTCACCATGACACCGGACCCGTGCCAGGTCTACGCAATCATCAAGCAAGAGCTCCCGGATCTCATTCGCAGGACAGCACTGGAGACGGCATAGCTTTGCTATGCTTTGCTGCACTGTTGTGTTTCAGTGTCTGATGGAGGGAAAGCGCTGCAGTCCTCCCAAGCCTTTGGCCCAGTCGACATTGCTGGGACCAGACACTTCATTGACTTGAAGACCAGCCCCCAAGATGGGTTCGGCTGTTCTTCATGTTCCTCACTTGACGAATGGGTCACACAACTTTCGCGTTATCCCGGCAGGAGGGATCGCTTGGATCAGCACCTCACCTTGCGTGACCAGAGGGAAGGTCTCCAACGACAACTCGACTCAGCCCCTTGGTCTAAAAGGGGGCCGCCATGTGAAGCCCCCTTTTTCACCCCTTCTCCGGGCGCGAGAGTACTCATTGACAATCTTTGGATTACCATCTGGCGCCTATTTGGATAAATGTCCTGAATAGCCCACTCCAAAGCAAAGGATAAGCAGTTGCTGAACTACTTGGAGACTTGCTATCCAGGCTGGGGAATATCACATCACATTGCATGATGTAGTTTTGACCTGTCGTGATTGTGCTGGAGCCCAACACATTGTTAAATTTGTTCATTTGTGTCAACCTGCTTAGCCATTTCCAAGACCCAAGATGACAAGCACCGTGACCTCTCCGTGAACTCTGCCAGGTATCCAAGCCAAACGTGCCGCCATTGATGAGTTTTTGGCAGGTATAGCTGATGCTTGGACCTGAACACTGAAGCATGATTTGGGCCCGGGGCCCACTCGCATATTGGGAGGATTATCTTTGGGGGCAACGGGGGGCAAACACCTTTTGGCATGCAGTTGCGGGCCTGGAATGAAACAACAAAACAATTGCGGCATACCTCATGTCCCTGAGGGATTGAAGTTACAGACGGCAGTCAACAGCCCTTTCGAAGGCAATCTCTCCTTCTCCCGCTACGACTGCAGACCTAGTCGCTCCCTCCGTCCCAGTCGGCACTCGTTTTCTTGTAACCTCGGTGGGTCCTCGGTCCAGGGATCATCGGCATTCTCCATGTCCAGCGGATTTCGTCGGTGTGGCTCCAAAAGAGAAGCGGTCATGGCCCTGCCGAGGATTTGGAGCTGTCGGATGACGAAGTGCTGCAGAGCTTTGACACATCCTGTGGGCTGGGCACAAATCTCGTGTGAACCAAACAGCAGCCTTTGACAGACGATTGCAGCGGGGCGTAGGCGATTGATGTCAATTATTTTCGGATTTCGTCAGTGTTGGCCTATGGTGATTTGCCCTTTCTTGGCTGTGATGAGCTGGATAATTGTGTGTGGTGCAGGCAGTGCCTCTCTTTGCGGTTTACCAGGTCGTGTGGTTGGGAGTCTAGGGAAGATGTGCTTTGGTGCGGGATGTGTGTCCCTGAAAGCGGAGGCAAGTGGAGCCGCATGAGCGTTTGTTGGGTTTCTTTTTTCGCTTGCTTTTCGTGCGGAAGAAGGGCCATCCTAAATCACTGAATCACGCTCGTTCGCGGGGAGAGTAACAGGGCCCTTGGTGTAAGCCTGACAATGGCTGAGGATCATCAACTTGACCCCGACGGAGCCCTTGTACTTCTACAGCCTCTGCGAAGATTGCGAGAAGCGCTTCAGCGAGGAGGACGTCGAGCGAATCGGCCGCTCGGCGGGTTTTTAGGGCGCTGACTGCTTTCATGATCTCAGATGACCCATTGATTGGAAGAGCACCTGCAGAGAACCGCCAAAGTAGAACATTGCAGGACTAAGCCCAGACCTGGAGACCAGAAGCTTTGTGTTTGCATTCGCCGTTTGAGGCGCTTTGGTGAAGCAGCACTTGCTTGGCGCCTTGGCCAGCATCCGGCAATTGACGGCCTGTTGGGATCCCAGCATTGCTGGTGTGCATCCCACCGGATTCCTTTATGTGGAGGGTCAAGCAACTGCTGCAGGCGCTGGATGACATGTGCTTCCCCTCCGACTTGGGCTTGTGTACCTGTCATGTATAGTCATGACATATATACTGTATATAAATATATAAATATAAACCCTGCGTGTTTGTATGTGTGTTGCCGAGGCTTGGACAAAGAAGCCGCTTGGCCGCACAAGAATTCGAGTCGGGAGTTCACACTGGCGGGCCAGTTGCTTCGTATCGATGCCGAGTTGGATCATCTTCAAAAGGGCTTTCCAGCTGATCTAGGAGACAATTCTAAGTCACATACGAGTGAGACATCTTCCGTTTTTCTGATTGCACACCAAATGATCCTATCTGTCGGCAGAAACATTGCCAGGATGAACGTCTGCAGGCCGTCGACGTTCCGTCCAAAGCCGGAGGTTTTGAAGCCTCAAGACCCACGCGCTGGGACCGAAGGATCCCGTGGGGAGAGCGACCGCGCCGTACCGCGCTGGACCGCGCTGCGCCCGTGGGTGGAAGCCCGTTCGAGCCATGGGACGGAGATGGCTTCTTGGCTTGCTCAGCCTTTGGCGCCTTGGCCAGCTGAGCAAGGGTTGCTTTGGAACATTTGGAGGGTTTGACCATGTTGGTAGTTTGGGAGACACACAAACACACACTATCACTAGTAATAATCACGCTCGAGACCAAATCCGAAAAAGTGACCGTCCCAATTTCGAGGGCTCAGCATCGCACAACGAGGTGTTGCAGCGTTTGGTCCAGCAGCTTCTTGGGCGGGCTAGGGGAGCCAGAGAAGGGCGGAGAGCTGCAGGAAGGAGAGGAGTACATCGATCCAAAGGATGCTGCCTTCCAGAGGCAACAAGAAATCATCGCTGCCCGAAAGAGGAAGCTGCAGCCTAATTACAAGGAACGGGAGAGCCACACTGACACTGAAGCAAATGTTTCTCAAATTGCCCAACGAGAAACGCGAATGCACCAAATTCTGACATGGACTTGCGCTTGGCATTGTCGCTTATAAACTTTTGCTAAGATGTGCTTTGAACCTATTATTGGGGCTTGTAGGAGCAAGAACGCTACGAACGGGGCTCCTGGCATTTCTCGTGCTTGGACGTTTCTCAATAGCTAAGCTGTGTGCTGGCCGCGCTCCGCTCCAGGAGACGGCCCGGGAGAAGAAGGTGCGGCTCCGGAAGTTGGCGATGTGGAACGCCGTGCAGCGGAAGGGGATGACTGACGTGGTGGGCCGCTCCGAAGCCACCGTCGACATCAAGGCGCCGCGGTGTCCGCTCCGCGTTTTGAGTCGAGGGATGAGGGATTGGTCCGCCCGTTTCGATGGATTTCCTTTCGGCCAAAGGGCCCTTTTGGAGAGGTCAGGTCTGTTGATTTGATGAAGTGCACAGATCTGGCAGGTTAATCTGATGAAGCCCTTGGGCATTGAGTTTGAAAAGTTCGACACCGAGCCAAACAGAGCTTGGGTGAGCGCCATTCTCGAGGACTGATGATATTGTGATAGATACAGATAGCCTCTATACTATCTACTAACTACATCTTTTCAAACTATACTTCCATATGCTTTCCAGGTTTCTGCCAGTACATACGCGCTCATGTTTGAACCTGCTCTGCAAATTCTGGTCGCTCTCCGTGCTTTTGGATTCGCCCCAGCCCCTGCAGACCGAAAGCCTTTGTTTCAGGAGGGCTCAGCCTACCGGAACGATGAAGTTGAGCGAGGAGACTACTTGTTCTCCGTGAATGGCAAGGAGGTCGACGGGATGCCTTATGAGGAGGCGATCCAAGTCCTGATCGACGCCGAAGGCGGGCGATGGAGGGATGGATGGATGGAGGGAGGGAGGGAGGGAGGGAGGGCGGGAGGGGGAGGGAGAAGGCAGAAGAATTGATGATACCATTTTTGTGACCTTGGATTATTTTGTGCACAACGGCCTTCGTGATGGACCCAACGTCCAGGTTCAATGGAGCTGGTTTTCAAGCGCATCTACACCGTGGGTTGACGCAATTTTCAGCAGCTGCACATGAAAAAAAGGTCTCCTTTGGCAGTTGCGCAGGGTTGAAGTCAGTCCACCGCGGGCCGAAGTCAACTTGACGGATCTGAAGTGGTCTTCAAGATTCGACGGTTGGTAGCTTTGCCACTCGTGTTACCAAGAGAGTTACTGAAGGAAGACAAGGTCGCATGATGTGAGGTGTAGACACCGGGTGCTACTAGGGGCTCCTGGCCGTACTACTAGGAGCAAGGACGCTACTAGGGTGTGGTACATTCTCCCCCAACAGCGGGTTTTCACTTGCTGAGGTGCCGCCGCCTGAAGGAGGTGCGCCGTTGACGGTTGGAGGCGCACGCCGCAGAACATTTGGATCAAAAGACCACAGAACAGGAGCTGCGGTGACCTGCCGAACATGGCCGAACAGCTTCGGAACATATTGCACTTGTTTTTGCGCATCGGACTTGAGAAGCCATGTTTCAGCGTGAAGGTGGCCGCTGTGGAGCTGGGCTCTAGACTTTCACAGTGCTTTTTGCAGATCTTTTGATCTTCTTTTTGGCCCGAAGATTCTGCCACTACTCCCGCCCGAAGGGTTTTCGTTTTCCTTGTCACTGGAGAGGCGAGGAAGCAGATAGCGTTCAGCCACAAAGAGGCCGAAGATGCGTCGTCTGATGCGTATGCCACAGCCTGCAAGGGAAGAGCAAGAGACAAATGCAATAAACAGAGAGAGAGAGAGAGAGTCAGAGAAAGGAAGTCCCTCTTGCTTGGCCGGCTTTTGCGCATGGCGAGCCGGAGCCGAGCCGGAGCCCGACGTCCTGCAGGCGAAAAGCGATCGCCGGAAAGTGAGATGCCAGGAGACAAAGCGAGAGGCAAAAGGGAGACAAAGTAGTGAAGTTTCCTACCCGGGATGAGATTTATCCATTATTTTTCCACCAGATTCTTCTACACGCTCTCGGGGTTTCTACCGGTATGGACGGCAGGCAGCAGCTGACAAACACATAGTTTCTACAGCCTATATGCCAGTACATGCCTTTGGTTCTTTGCTATACTTTGCTAACCTTAAGCGCCTTGGTGAGCTGGCCCCACAATGTCTCTGAACATGCTCTTGATGTTGTGGGTTCAGCTTGCAGGAGAGGCGAAGAGACACAAGCAGGTGTGAACTCAACGGCTGCCCCAATCGTCCAAATTCAGTTTTTGATTGCAGTGCGCCAAAGTTTGATACTGGTTTAAGGCCCTCCGCCCGCCCCACGGCCCCCAAGGGCCGTGATCACCTTGTGTCGAACGTGATATTCGGTGCGGCGCTAGTGCCGCACACATGCCCGTCTACTTGTAGATCAGTCGGCTTCAGATGTAGCACAAGAATCATCAGAATCATCAGATTCAGATGGGTGAGGTGGATCGACGAATGCATTTGGAGGTTTATCCAATTGTCCAATGGCGTCGCACTTCGCACTGCTCCTTTTGCAGGCCTGAGGCCCTCTTCGCTGCATGAATCGCGCGGACCACTGATCCGAAAAACTGTGAGCGTCGCTTTCAGTTATGCATACACTTGCAGAATCAGAGGAATCCCCAAGCACAGCCTTCTACTGGAACAGGGCCCCTATGATGGCGGCGCTGTAAGAAGAACATATGGAAGGCATTGGTTAGATTTCCTTTTTTCTGCCACCTACCAGGGCGTCCCGTCCATCGATCAGCGAGCGAGTCCCTAATGCGTTGCTGAATCGGTCTTTCGCCTGCTGCATTGCGCAGCCATTTCTGGGCCCTGAATTACACACACGGCCAACCACCCAACCACTCCGCCTGATGATGGTGAGGTAGCTCAGAGCATGGATTTGTATGGATTTGTTGGTGCTGGGAGCCACAAGAAGATTCAGTGTGGTGCTCGTGTGCAGCTTGGATCAAAGGCTCGAAGACCAGCCCTGGCCGTCGGCCGTCAGCGGATGCTTGACAGAATATGTATGTCATGAGTCATAACAGGTTAGGACCTGGTTGGAGGGGGCTAGGTGTCTTTGGGGCATGCACCCTTGCATGATCTGGACAAAATGCAGGCACACACCTTTAACTGTGAGACTGCGACGGTCACTCACGACAGAGACACAGCGTTGATGTGGAAAGATCAGAAACCCTCTCGGAACAGTTCTTCCACATGTGGATCAAACAATGGAAGACCTCTTCTGACTATATAATCATCCACAGTCGAAAGAGTCATCTCTACGGCACTGTCACTTTGGCGCGTAAAAGCGCGTAAAGGCGCACGAGCCACACCCCTTGTGGTCCTAGAACAACTGTATGAAACTTCTTTAAACCAGATCAAAAGAACAAATGGATGTCGCAATGTCCTGTTTTGGCACCACTCCCCTAGCACACCACGCGAGAAAAAAGAACACACCCAACCGCCCTTGCACCGCGCTTGCGCAGATCATGCCATGGCGCAGCCGGCAGACCGCCCTTGAAGCCTCGTCCCAATGGTCTCGGAGAGCGGTTCGGACGGCGGCCTGTGCGAGTGCCTGACGGTGCGCTCCCCACGCAGCTCGGTGGGGAGCGACAGGTCGGAGAATGCTCCGAATGATTTGGTAGGGGTCCGAGCTTAGTGGTGACCAATTTGTTCAAGGAATTCTGATTGAGGTGTGTGACCTTTCCATGCTCTCTTTGGTCCACCCTGGAGTTGCGACATTCCTTTGTTGGGTGCTTGTTCTCCAACTATATAATTGTGCCCCCCCCCTCTGGTACAAGGAGTCTTGTGTGAGAAAGGCATCATTCTCGCAACTACCCAAGCAAGAGCCATGTTGGCTGCGGGTCAGCCTTTTTCTCTTCGGGGCGCAAGTAGGCCAGGTGAACGGGGACCTTTCGTACCACCATAAACGAGGGACGTTCCAATATCGACAGTGTTTTGTGCATGTGAGGTGGTCCAAGATCTCGTCATCAAGATTTTTGTACTGTAGCAATGGCAGTAGTTCATATGGTTCCACCCAGAAGGAAGATGAATTACTGTATATATATATATATCCTCTGGCTGTCTGACATGAACGGTCAACCCTCCTTGCCCCGAGTGTCTGAGGCTTGCTCCGGCGTGGCATCCCACGCTCCCGCGCGCGGGGCTCCTTTCGGGTCGGTTAAGTGGGTGTGAGCAGCTTTGAGCAGTTCGTCCGGAGCGATGTATTCCACTATATGGTGTCTAAGCAAGAATGGGGACCAGACGGAGATGTTTTGTAGTAGTGGTTATATAATTGAATGTAATGGTTCCATTGAATTGGTGGCAATAACTTGCCGCTGGACTCACCATGGGCCACCTAGGCGAATATGCCCCTTCGCTGGATGCTGGTGCTCTACTGTGTCGTCTCCTGGCTATTTCTCAGAACTGTTGAGTTCCTTCATCTAAAGCACTCAAGAAGCCCCACTCATGTCCCCAGTCACTCAAACAAACATATCATTGCCGTCCCTGCAAAAGAGGTCCGTTGGGACACTACGGTACGCCGTGGTAGAAACACAATCTGTGAAGCTCTCGAGCTTGTAGAAGGAGCTTTCACCCAGCTGAACTGCACCCAGCTCGGTTCTTTTTCACAAAGCCCCAGAGCCAGGTGTCTGCCGGGTGTCTCAGGTCTATGTGGCCATGTGGTTGGTCTTCACCTTCTGGTGGCAACGGGCCGCCTCTGGCTGTGAGGAACGCCCCTTGACCTTCCGTCGAGCTTTCATGCTCTCCCTGGAGACCATGACCACTATCGGCTATGGCGTCGCAGATCCGCCCCTTGGGATGAGAGATATAGCACTCTGTAGAGCTGTGGGGTGAAACCTGTGGGGGGCTGGGGGACCGTTTCATGGAAAAAGATGGAGGCTTTGGGTGGTGACGGATGAAACAGGCATAAATTAGCCAATTGTAGCGGTGAAACTTCATGGATTCTCTACAGTGTTTTCATGAAGCAGTCTGTGCCCCAGCAGCTGCAAAACAGGATGTTCGATGGCTGTCGCGAAGTGATTCCATTGCTGGTGGTGCAGTCCCTGATTTCACTCCTCATGGACGCGATCTTCTTGAACATGGTTTATACTCGCTTCTCCTCCGCCTTCACCCGCTCGGCCAGTATCATTTTCACGGATGTGGCGGTGGTCTACATGGAACAGGCCACGGTGAAGCTCTGTTTCCGTGTCTGTGAGGTGGCCAGGAAGCCCCTGATCGAACCGCTGATTCGAGTGTACCTGGTGAAGCATCAGAAGCTTCCAGACCTGCCGGAACTGGATGGTTTGGAGAGTGACGACCGGGTTGATGTGGAGGTGCATCAGATGGCACTGGAAGAGCCCAATATCAATATCGCGGATGGGAAGCTCTTTCTCACACTCCCTTGCAAGGTCGTCCATTGCTTGGACTCCGACAGCCCACTGTGCTCAGCAAAGAACTTGGACGAGTTCCATGAGGCAATGCAGCGCACGGAGTTCTTCGAGGTCCTGGCGGTTCTCAGTGGCACCTGCCCCATCACAGGGAACAGCTTGGAGGCCCGGCAGTCCTACACCGCCAGCGACTTGCGGGTGGACTGCCGTTTCTCGCCGTGCGTTGTTTTGCGGAACGATGAGCACGTGGTTGACTTTGAATACTTCCATCGGACTCTGCGAGAGAGCTGGAAGTGACGCAGGTGTTTTAAGCTCCAAGCACAAAGGCTGCTTGAGAGAATGGCTGAAGCGATCACCAGGAGCCCCCTACCAAAAGCGTTTTCGAACGGATGCGTCATGTTTGAGTTGTGCGCGGAGTGCTTGGCCGGCTTTTTGCCGGGGTTGCCATGGGCTGCTTTAAGGATCTTGAACGGAAGATCATGTTATGTCACTTTGAGTGGGCATTCTAATGTCAGGCAATGCTAGCAGAACAGTAGCTGCATCGCGCCTGAACGTTTACGTGCGGCCTTCTTGACTCAAAGTGTCCTGCAAGAATCACGAGCGATGATCCGGCCAAGGTTTTAGAAACACTGTTCAATGTTCGATTCAACACAGAGTGCAGTTTCACCAGCTTTGGTTGCTTTTGTTTGCCACCTATCTTGGATGTTCAAGTGCTACTCAACTCAGCCACTACTGTCACTGTTCTTCGTGAGTGCACGCCAACAAACCTGAACTTGAGCCTCAAGGCCTCCATTCATGGCTGCTTCCAGCACTGAGAAGGAGAGCTGCCTATTCTTATCTGAGTGGGAGTCCGCGCGGCACGAACACCATTTGTGCCGCCGGAAGCATGTGGAGAAGGAACTTCATCGACAGCAGTTGCAGCTGCAGAGCGCGTTGGCGTCCTTGAACTCCTGGCTGGCTATCCTGGAATCCCGGCGGAAGCTGATGCTTGTCTTGACCATTTAGGAATTTATATATATATATACACATAGTCTTGTTTAATGTTTTGTTCTTACCCAAAAGCTTTTGTCATTCGATTCGCTGATTCGACTGTTGAACAGTGCTTTCTGGGTTCATCTCACCAAAAGCTTGATCCACTGCTTTGGGCTCCGGAAAGAGGCTCAAGGCCTTTGGACTCCACGCTCCACTGCTTTTGGATGCCTGCTTGAGTCGTGAACAGGGGCCGTTTTCGCGGAGGACGAAGATCCCAAAACTGAATCTGGAGCTGAGATCCATTGAGCCCTGAAGTTATTGGAGCGTTCAGCGCCAAACATTTTTCAGCCATGTCTCCGTTCTCGGGAGACGATTCGGCTTGATTCGGCACCTCTCGGCTCCAGTGGCTCGCTTAGCTGGACAGCTGGACAGCAGTGGTTTCAGTGCTCTGGAACTGAAGGATTCTGCGCACCCGCACCCCACCTGCATTCCGCACCGCGCCCCTGCGTAATTACCGGTAGAACTGCTCAACTGCTGCCAGGAACGAGGTGGCGGCCAGCGCGGCCGCCCAGGCACTGTCGGAGTTGGAGACTCGTTGGCGGCCGCTGCGCCTGGAGTTAGATGCCGAAGTGGCTGGTTGGCTGCTGGGCGCAGAGCAGAGCTATGCTGCGAAGCTGAGTGGTGGACCGATGCAAGAGAGCGTTTCTTTCAGATGTCGGAGATAGTAGAGGTGTAAACACTTGGGAGCGTAATGAAGGGCCCAATTGCTGAATTGATGGGAGCTTGCAAGAAGAAATCAGCCATTGACTTGAAGGGAGCCCGTGCTTGCCACTTCAATTGCGTTATTGTTGGGGGGCAGGTTGAATTTGATATTACATTTTTGCGACATGTGCATGTTGGCAGGCCAAGCCAAGCTCTGGGCAGCGGCGGCACCTGAAGGTGGCACCTCTCTGCGACAAAGGCTTCAGGCCTTGTCTGAGCACCTGGCTTCGCGTGTGGTGGCAGCCATCCGACTTTGGGACGAGTCTCACCAGGCGGCTGAGCAAGCATGGCAGAGCCATCACGAACGAGTAGAAGAGACCTGGGTGGCACGTGGCCGACAAACGACGGATCGCTCGAAGAACTGACCTTTGATCTTGCGCCGGTTCGAGTTACAAGTTGAGAGTGTGAATGTGGTCTAAATGCCTCAGACGTACCCCCATTTATGGAAAGTGTATTTGGATGCTGCGCTGCGCCGCAGTTCAGGAAGCGGCACGGGCCATCTCGCAAGAAAGGGCGCCACCTGATTCGTGGCTGAGTGAAGTGCAGTGCCCAGGCTATGACTCAGCTTTTGGGCCAGCTGAACAACTCCTATTCCAAACCTGGAAACACAAATTAAAACATATCATTACAGGTCTATATGAGGTGTGAGAGGTGTGAGATGGATTCTAGATTCTAGGTACAGCCGAAGCTTCCTTTGTGTCCCATGTGTGTCCTCAGCCAGCCAAACAGGGCTGTCCTCAGCCGCCCAGGTACCGCGAGCGCGCTCGCAAGCACGTCACGGAGCTTGGCTTGGTGGAGGAGCTTCTGCGGTCCAGCGCCGAGCAGCTGGAGACTTTGGAAGCGCAGCGCGCGGAGTATTGGACCTCCTTGGCCGAGTCCTACCGTGTCCTGGTCGAGATTTGGGTGACAGTGTCGCTTGGGGGAAGAGCGGCCACAGCTTGAAAATGGAGGGGCGCAAGTGTTGAATTGAAGGGTTGAAACTTCAGGATGTTTGGTCGTTTTCGCAGGTGAGACACTTGTTTGCTGAGGGTTCTGCCTCACTCGTTTCCCTGGGCTTCCCACCTGGCCCATCCTGGCATTCCGCTTGCACATACGGGGCCGACCTGCTGAGCCAACACGTCAACAGCGTCCGATCGCTCTTAGCGATGCCCTTTGCTCCAATCGTAGCATCTTTGCTCCGGTGCCGAATTATTCAATCCTTTGCCAACCGTTCTCCATCCGAGTTCAAGCGCGTAGGCAAATTGGCACGGTCGAAGCTCCGCCTGCTCCGCCTGCTCCGCCTGCTCCGCACTCAGGAAGCTGCTGCGATGACACGAGCAGCGACGTGCCCCGCTTAAAGCTTGGCTCGCTGGAGCCCGCGGCAACGCTGCCGCCGTGGCTTGGAGACAACTGTGGTGGAAAGTGGTGGAGTGGAACATCAGAGCAAGTGGTCGGTACAGGATGTACAGAATTAAATCAGATGAGGAACAACTGTGAACCCCGCAGTCTTCAAGAGAAGCAGCGCTGTTTCCTATGCTTTTTGAGTCTCGGATCGACTCGGATAGTTCGGATAGTTGGGAGGTTGTCACCCTGTCTGAACCATGGGGACTAGTTCGTACAGTACAGGCCGACAGTTGTCGAGAATTACTGTGCTTGATTGGAGTCTGGGTTCTAAATAATTGTGTAGAGGTCCTTGCAAGTGGTTCAGATTGCCCTTAGCAGCTGAAGTGTGGGGAGCGGGAAGGGGGAGACCGCAGAAGCCCAGGCAGATGACAAGGGCAAGCCCAAAACCTGTCCAAGCAATTCCCTATCCACCCGATGTTCAAGATCCATGAAAGCTAGAATTTCCGCACGAATTTTGAACCACCCCAGATGGCGTCGTGGATCCACTTGGGCTTTTCGTCCTCGGTCCATCAAATTCTCCCACCTCCTATCCCAAACCTTCCGTCAGTTGCTACTCTGCAACCTGCATCAACCTGCTATACCAAGCAAGGTTGCCCGACATGCCGACGGCCTATGGTGCCGTGCTGCAACGCGTGCCGGCCGCCATGATGACGCCCAGCGGGCTCTTTGGTCGTGGCAGCGAGTGGCGGGAGGGTGCAACATTGGTCCTCACCATTCATGGATACTTGCACCTCTTCTTGCCGGACCCCAAGGCCAAGAAGACGACTGAGAATAGTCCGGAGGCAGGAACTGCGACAAAATCTCTTCTTGAAGCTCTCTTGATCATGGGAAGCTCCATGAACGAGTTCGATTTCGATGAAATACAGGAAGTCCCCACTTTCCAAATATCATGAAGCGATTGGGATTGCAGCTTGTCCAACCAGGAGAACGTTCCTGAGCTGGTTGAGTCAGACGTCAAGGCATCGGTGTATGCTCCTCGGGCGACCAAGTGCGTCTTTCAGCGCCGTGGTCAGGCGCGGGGTGTTTGCTTCTTCCACATTGACGGAGGAACTTCTACTTCGGTGATTATGCTCTGTTCATTGTACTCCAGGTCCAGGTGACTTCTTTTGTTGGTTCCAACTGGGTGCCAGCTGCCAACCAAACCCAATTCCCTCCCTCAGGAGCTGGTCGTCGACCTGGCTGAGCAGGAGCCCGAGCCCGCCACCCCCGATGCGAGTCCGCCCGCCGGCGGCGGCGCGGCCGGCGTGCTGCGGAAGTGGTGGGGAGGTAAGGGCGAGCCTTGGAACCAAGCTGTATGAAGCCCAACTCTCAGGGGTAGAAGAAATGACTCTCAGAGGATCTCAGAATTATACTACTCTAGGGATCTCTAGGGGTATGTGTAGGTATATGTGCTTAGATTCATTCCTACGTACATCGACAGAAGGCCTTTCGGGGTCGTCGCCTCCCCGCCCCACCGTCGCCGTCGTCTCAGGACGAGGCACCGCTCCGCCGCATCCACGCACGGGTCTCCGACGCGCAGCAGTTCAGCGAGTTGGAGACCCATTGCCATACCTTCGTGCGACGGGGACAGGCATTGCGGAGTGCCAGCGGGTCGCCCACCGGATATGCCGGTCAAGGGTGAAGCGAACATCGGCACTTGAGGCCCACAGGCCAGATCTTGTGCAGATAGCACGCGAACCTGACGCGGATGCAAGGAGAAAACAGCCCTGCCAGCCAGGGTGGGTTCCTTGCGTAGCATGACTCCATGACCCAGCTTCAACAAGCTGCTGCTCGTGGAAAGCATGCGACAGTTCTCCAGTTCTCCAGGCGATGAGGGCGAGCTCCAGAGAGGCAAGGATCGAGGAAACTGCACGAAGTCGTGAAAGGTTGCACTTCTTTAGGAGGAGCTGAGGAGCTGCTTATATAGGTGTGCTAAGGTCTTGGGCTTTCGGATGCTTTTGGAATCTTTTTGAAGGTTCAATTCTGATTGCTCTTCTTTCAGGTTTGGCTAACAGAATCTACTGTAATGCTTTTACCTTCATTTCTGCCATTCATGTCTTTATCCCATCAGATCGCCACACCAAAATAATTTCCAGCCTGTGCCTGGCCTTTGCCTGTTTGCGACCAGCTTGGAAGGCCCAAAGATCGTTGGCCTTGCATATAGCCATGCACATGTGCAAGACATGAGGTCTCACTCCAACACTTGAGACTCGAAAGACGTGCAACCCTGCAGCATGAAGGCCGACCTGTGAGATGGAATTCAATTCTCAGTGCAGTGCAGCCCTTCAGTGTCGAAAGTACACAGTTTCCAGAACTGTATTGGACATCCTTGCTGGTTTGGGGAAGTCATCACCCTCCTTCAGCCTCGGATATTGTTTCCAGTGCTTGGGACAAATGTCTCTTTTCAAAGCCAGGCCTGTGCGAGGCACTGTCAATTGACCAAAATAATCTACAGAAATCGATTTGAGTCAGACCCACCAACCACATCGCAGCCACACCGGGGTCTCCTTTAAGCCATGGCTTAAGCGATGCGGGCGGGCGGTGTGTTGGCATGGGAGCCTTGGCTCACCCGACCTGATCCAAAGGGATCGAGTGGACTTTCCATGAAGCCGGCAGATGGACAATAGATGGCAAAACAAGATTAATCATGCTTGCCATCGGCGTTGTAGTCCATTAGATTGCTTTATCCAAGCTTTCCCTTCTTCCACATCTAGATTCTAGATGCTTCAACTTGTCAAGTCTGCTGAAACCGCACGTTCAGCCAGGCTGAACAGCCACGATGAGAAGATATGAGAAGCATGTGAAATGAACTTGAAATCATTCGTCGGAGTATTTGCGTGAACCGGTTTTCATGTTCATGTTCTTCCTCGTCATCGGTCGATGAGACTTCTGCGCAGCCGGGCCCCGAGAGAACGCCCCAGGAGTGCCAAAGACAGCCCTTCCATTGGACACCACGAAGCCCAGCACCTTGCTGTGGTCAAAGCTGCCACAGCAGAGGACATACAGTTCAAGATGGCGCTGCTAAGGCCAGCGAATCACACCGGATGGTGGAAGAGAGATGGTTGAGAAATACATGAATGATGATACATGCAAATATCACAACCACATGCAGCGCAGGCGGGTAGGACATTCATGCAGATGCAAACGAGGCAATGAACTGTTTGGGTCATGGGCTTACCAGCACCGCAGAGGTGCTGCTGGCAGCCTTGGCTGGTTCCTGTGGGCTCAGATCCAATGGCTGCTTGGACTGTTAGGAGGCAATCGGGTGCCACGATGTTGCGCTCCAAGGCACACTTTGAACACGGTCCAAACTCCAGCTTCCTCAACACACGGCAGACCCGTGGTTTTTGGGGACCGGCCCATGTCTTGTTTGAAGGACAAGCCCAATGCTTCTTCAAAAGCCAAGCTGAACGAAGCTGAGCTAAGACTGGCCGAATCAAACCCGCGACGCACCGAGAACCCGCTCGCGCGCCACTGGGTGAGGCCGCCTCCGAGCCCCTGAGAAGGTGAAGCTGAGAGCGAGCTCTGCAGAAGTGGGGAGTAACTCGTTTGCAGAAGCTGACACCTTGACAGACCTTTAATTAGTGCCTCTAGGAACAAGAAGCTACTAGGGCTCCTGGCCTTACTACTAGGAGCAAGGACGCTACTAGGGGCTCCTGGCATCGCTACTAGGAACAAGAAGCTACTAGGGGCCTCAGTGTCACCACCTTGACAGACCCGAGGCCAAAAGCGGAAGTTTTTACCCAAGCACCAGATGATGGTGGATGTGGCTGTTCTGGCACCCAGCCAAAACGACGGTGAAGAAGATTTACTGAAGAATGCTGAGGCCTCGAGGGATGTCTTTTGTCTTTTGGTCTTAGAATTTAATGCTTTGTTGGAGAAATTGGGAGGAATATGCTGCCTGTTCTTTGAGGGCTTGTTTGGGGAGGGACCGAAGGTGAAGCAACATGAAGCAAAGGTGGAAAAACTGAGGCGAACCACGAGCCATCCTAGTTGGAAAGGTTCTAAACTGTGCATGTTCCCGGTGAACGGCTCCTGCAGGTCTTGCTATCTCAGAAGCATGTACGCTCTGCTGCTTGGCGCATGGCTGGCTTCCAAGAGGAGTCTGACAGTATGTTACTCAGTTTTACCTTTTTCTTTTTTTGTGAAGCAGTTGTGTTTGCGACATTGGAGACACTGACAGATTTGTTTGCATTGAGGCATGTTAACACCCTTCCCCAAGACATTTTGAGTCATGTTTGGCAGGACAGTCTAGGACCAAACCCGTGCCAGCAAAGGTGTCCCAGATCCTGGCAGCAAGTTGCTGTATTTTCTTACGCTAAAGGGTCTTCAGGCTGCAAAGGGTCTTCTCAGTACAAGCATCACAACAAGGAGTAGGCATGCCACCCAACACTCTTAGATTGATGCTCGCAAGAGCTGAATCCGGTGAAGAAGTTCCATTTTACACGCATTAGACCTTGACTCGAGGGAACGGAAAGGCGAAGGAGTCCGGAAACAGAACTGTTTAACATCGCTCAGTAGCCACTTACTGCACAACACCGTAGTGGACAGCTTGAAAGTGGTTCAAAACATGTGATGCAGGTACGTTCAGCTGATCAGGCCGAATGTCCCACTCTGTGACCTAGCTTCGTTGAACTGGGTCAGTCACAAAGTGCCCAGTTCCCCTGCAAACCTCGTAAACTCGACCGAAAGTGAATTCTTCTGTGCAAACTCCTTAGGAACAGGTGTGGACACACACAGAGTGCCGATATCGGCGCTCAAAAGATTTACTAGCCACCTAACAAGCCTTAGAAGAAAGGAAAGGAACAGACAGAAAGAGCAAACGAAGAGGGCAAGAGAGAAAGATAGGAGTAGTTACGAGGCCCACTAGTTATAAGAAGTGTGAATTCTCGTGCAAGGAGGGGTGTGTGTGGCTCTAAGGCACTGCCGTAACCGGCGCTCCCTTGACTAGAAGGTTACCTAAAACCTAAAGAAAGGCCTCAAGAAAACGGAAAGCAACAGCACGAGAGAGAAACCAAAAGAATCAAAAGAGATTACTTAGTTGCTTGCGTATTGGTCCTCTGCTCACGTTTCTCACTCTCCTCACGCTCGGCCGTAAACGGCGCTCCCTTGACTAAAGCTTCACCTGAAACCTAAAAGCCTCAAGCAAATCTTTGGAAGTCGTTAGACACGTCTGAGTCCGTTTCGTCTACTGTTTCGCACATTCGCATGAAAAGATATTCAGTGAGCCCTGCGGCATTCGATCTCAGTAAGCCCTGCGGCATTCGATCAGCAATCTCAAGCAAAAACGAAACGAGCCTGTGATATTCTGACGGAAATCAGTGGGAGTCCCCCAGAAGTGGGTCTGTGCACATGCTGCGCCCCTCGGTGGGGATCATACCACAGCCCTCAGTGGGACTCTGTGGCGAAACACACTTAGATCGATGCTCGCAAGAGCTGAATCCGGTGAAGAAATTCCATTTTACACGCATTAGACCTTGACTCGAGGGAACGGAAAGGCGAAGCTTACTGCACAACACCGTAGTGGACAGCTTGAAAGTGGTTCAAAACATGTGATGCAGGCACGTTCAGCTGATCAGGCCGAATGTCCCACTCTGTGACCTAGCTTCGTTGAACTGGGTCAGTGACAAAGTGCCCAGTTCCCCTGCAAACCTCGTAAACTCGACCGAAAGTGAATTCTTCTGTGCAAACTCCTTAGGAACAGGTGTGGACACACACACACACTTTATATATATATATATAGATAGAGAGCTCACCGGGGTGAGCATAAGTTCTGAAGGTGACTCAACGATGCATTAGCACTTTAAGTGAATACTTAGCCCTTGACTCGCAAACCGCAAGATGACCAATTGGGTCAAAAGAAGGGTTGAACTGCGAGCAAACCTAGCACTTTCCCGGAAGAGTAGTGTAACAGCTTGAGAACGCCACAAAAAGCAGGTACACAGTCCGACGTCCCTGACCGCACCCCATGACAACTGGCGTAGGTATCAAAAAAGTATTTATCGAACCAAAAAAATATTTACCGAATCAAAAACTGAATCAAATAAAAGTATTCGTTGTGCGATGAACCCCGTTGGAATTCCCAGTCGTGTAGGTGGCCGGTCCTCTGGTCCGCTGGTCCCCTGGTCCTTTGGTCCGCTGGTCCTCTGGTCCGCTAGTCCACTGGTCCGCTAGTCCCTTGGTCCTCTGGTCCTTCGTCTTTCTTTCTTTCTTTCTTTCTTGCTTTTTTGCAGCTGTTCTCCTTTCTCTTTTTTGCTTGCTTTTCCTTTTGTTCGCTTTGCAGAGACGAAGCTAAACAAGGAAGCAAGCAAGCAAGCAAGCGCGAGCTGCTCACCTTTGGATCTGGTGTGCTGCTGGGGGGAGGGCGCTGCGCCCCCCCCCCC